TAAATGCTTCTCAGTTGTCTAAGCCAGCAACTCTGCAGATCGTGGACACCCACGCCCCCTTCTATGTCCAAGTACTGTTTCCTTTTCCCCTTTCTCTTCCTGGTCTCATTACTCTGGTTCAGGCCACCATCTCTCTCCTGAGTTTCAGTTTTTATGCCAGTGCGCCTGTTCAGATTCTGTGCCCTTCCAGTGTGTTCTTCGCTGTAGTCCTTCTGATCTTTTGTTTTAATTTATAATAGCCTTATAGAGATAGAATTTGTATACTATACTGTTCACTTGAAAGGTATAATTTAGGGACGCCTGGGTGGCTCCATCCATTAATTGTCCGACTGTTGATTTCAGCTCAGTTCATGATCTCAGGGTTCTGGGATCAAGCCCTGCAGGGGACTCCACGCTGAGCTGGGGTCTGAGCTCGGAGTCGACCTGTTCCCCTTCCTCTGCCCCTCCCCCTGCTCTTGCTCTCTTTCTCTCTCTCTCTAAATAAAATCTTAAAAACAGTAAAATGTACAATTTAGTTATTTTTAGTATGTTCACAGAATTGTGCAGCCATCACTGTAATCATTTTTAAGACATTTAACCACCTCTAGAAGAAATGCTCTACTCCTTGGCAGTCACTCCCCATTTCGTCCCCACCCATCCCCCAGCTGTGAGCAACTACTCATCTACTTTTGTCTCTCTGGATTTGCCTATTCAGAACATTCTGTAAAAATGGAATCATGCTCTCTTTTATGAGTGCTTTAATTTAGCATGATGTTTTTTTTTTTAAAGATTTTATTTATTTATTCATGATAGTCACACACACACACACACACAGAGAGAGAGAGAGAGAGAGAGAGAGAGAGAGAGGCAGAGACACAGGCAGAGGGAGAAGTAGGCTCCACGCAGGGAGCCCGATGTGGGACCGGATCCTGGGTCTCCAGGATCACACCCTGGGCCAAAGGCAGGCGCCAACCCACTGCGCCACCCAGGGATCCCAGCATGATGTTTTCAAGGCTTATCCTCGTTTTATAAACATTAGTACTTTATGCCTTTTTATTGTCAAGTAATTGTCCATTGTATGGATAATAGTACCTTTTATTTATTCATACATTAATTGAGGGACATTTGGATTGGCCCCAGTTTTAGGCTGTTAAAAAGCTGCTGTGAACATTGATGTACAAATTTTTGTGTGGACATGCTTTTTCTTTTCTTAAGATTTTATTTATTCATGAGAGGCACAGAGAGAGAGGCAGAGACATAGGCAGAGGGAGAAGCGGGCTCCCTGCAAGGAGCCCGATGTGGGACTCGATCCTGGATCCCAGGATCACACTGAGCTGAAGGCAGACGCTCAATTGCTGAGCCCCCAGGCATCCCCTAAAATTGTTTTGGGATTCTAATTGGACCCAAGGCAGTTGCATGATTATTGTGCATGCCTTGCTTTCCGTCATGGTTTTACAGATGACAAGAGGGTAGGATCATAGAAAGAATGGTGTGTAGCTCTTGCTCTGCTTAGACAGAGGCCAGGCGAAACCTGTGCTCAGTCTGCCCTCCAGTGGTTGTTCCCTGTCTGCCCTCGGGTACTTTTTGACCTGGAAGAGGAAGAGCTAAGATAAGGGGAAGGGAAGCTGGAAACTGGGAAGCACGAGTTGATTAGAAGCCTGGAGCACAGGGTAACAACCTCTGAGGACTGGTGCACTGCAGCAGGTGGTAGCTTTTTGCATGGGAATAAATATATTCGGTCAACTGGTGACCTAGTTCTGCCTTTAGCTCTTGAATTATAGGCCAGATATTCATTTTTCACACTACATGGAAAATCTGGTTATAAGGATAGATTTTTTTTTCCTTTTGGTTTTCAAGGACTCCTTATTTCTGAACTAAAAAAGTAGATTATACCTTATGCTTTTACAAGGTTGTATAAAACAGTGAAAACAGAATCTGGATTTGTTTCTCTGTGATTTTACTGAGATGACTTTACTCATTCTCTGTCAGAATATCTAGAAATAGTCTTCCATTTTCATTTTTTACTCCATAACTACTGTAGTATGCAGACGGGAAATCTCGCAGATTGATGTTTCCTCTTCTCAGCTTTCTTTCTTTCTTTCTTTCTTTCTTTCTTTCTTTCTTTCTTTCTTCTTTCTTTCTTTCTTTCTTTCTTTCTCAGATTTATTTATTTTAGAGAGAGAGAGCACACGTGCATGAGTGAGGGAAGAAGCAGAGGGTGAGGGAGAGAGACAAGCAGACTCCCTACTGAGCTCAGAGCCCAAAGCAGGGTCAGTCCCATGACCCTGATACGACTGGAGCCGAAACTAAGAGTCTGAGGCTTGATGGACTGAGCCACCCAGGCGCCCCTCTTCTCAGCTTTCTAAACCCCAACTTCCTTGGCCTAGATTTTTGTTGTTTGTGGGGCCATGATAATGTTTTTTACTCTTTTACTCTATGCCCAAGGGTGTAACTTTACTGTACAGGGCTAGATATTAATGATCTGTAAAATCCATGGTCCAGGATATTCAGGCATCTTAAACTCCCTGTCTTCATTTATGTGGTTTAGTTTTGCCATAAGCCATAGCACTAGGGCCTTGCCATATAGGGAAACAAAAAAGGAGCAGACCTTATGGCAGAAACATTGATGTTTGGAAGAGAGGTTTTGGGGAAATGAAAAGGGTGTTTTAAATAATAGTCATCTTGATGTATTTAGTGCACTGTCAGAAGAAAGCTTCATCCAGAACTACCAAAGCTGGGGCCCAATGAAGTGACAGTTCCTGGCCTCAGTGAATAGAAGATTAGATATTGCTTGGCTTAGTTGACAGACTTTTTTTTTTGTCTCCAAATAAAATAAGCACCTTTCCTTGCCTATTCTAGGAACCAGATAAAACTTCTAAAGAGCTGGTTTGATGGAAATCATGATTATGATACCAGAATTCACAGATATGTTTGTATGTTTCTAAAAAATTAAGTAAATGGATACAAGTCCTGTTGCTAACAAAACTAGTGTTGCATCCAGAAAGTTAATTTAGAAATAATTGAATACCTAATGTGCACTGTATTCACACCAGAATCTGTAGGAGACTCTGAGATGAATCAGACCTTGGTCCTGCTGCTGTGGAGCTTGTCCTTCAGTAAGGAGGTGATGCATGTATGTGATGTAATGAAAATACAGGAGGTCAAGGGCTGTCAGGTTTAGAGGGGGGAAAGCAATAACTTCTGTTGAGGGAAAGGGAATTAGACAAGGTGGCATGGAGAAAGAAGTATTTGATCTGGTGGCAACTGAGCTTTTTTGAAGGTTTTTCTAGTATAGTAATGACATGATTGGAGTTTTGCTTTAGGAAAGCTGTTTCTAAGATGTGATCAAAGACAGAGATTTGGAGACTGGGTGAAAAGCCAGGGAAGCCCAGCGTTCTAAGTGGTGGTGGAAACAGAGGGTGTGATAGATGTGAGACTTGCAGAGGTAGAACCACGTGGATTTGACAGTTGTCAGAGCAAGGCATAAGCTTTAAAGAGGGATTTTTAGGCATAGGTAATGAGGAGGATGGAAATACTATTAAAGATTTGGGAACACAAGAAGAGGTACTGATTTGAAAAGAGGATAATAAATACAACTTTTCATTGAGAAATCTGGGTGATTTTTGTCTTTAGGGTGATGGAAGTACTTAAGTAGACCTGGGAAGAAGTCAGGGTTGAAGGTAGAAATACTGAGAATGAGTATTTGAGTATTTGAAGTATTATAGTTGAAGCCTTGAGATTGAATGAAATTGCCAGAGGATTTAGTATCATATGTGTCTTTACCAAGAATGTCACATAGCAAAACTCCCAAATCCCCCAGTTTTAGGATAGGAGTACTCCAGAAGAGGGTGTTGTTGAAAGAACTCAAGCTGTTCCTTAGAGTTTTTATTTCGCTTTGGGACTCTTTCAGTTAGATTCTCGTTTTGGTTGGATAGTAAAGCATACTGGTGATTTTTTTTTTTTTTTGAAGATTTTATGTATCTATTCATGAGAGACACAGAAAGAGAGAGTCAGAGGGAGAAGCAGGCCCCACACAGGGAGCTCAGTGCGGGACTTGATCTAGGCATTCCGGGATCATGCCTTGAGCTGAAGGCAGATGCCCAACTGCTGAGCCACCGAGGCATCCCAGCATACTGGTTTTGAGCATGAGAGCAGGAAAATAGGGTGTGCTTCCTTGGTCTGCCACCTCTTCCACCACATGTCCTTGTTAGAGTCCTACAACCTCTTTGTGCTTCAGTTTCCTCCCCTATAAAATGGGGATGTAATACCTTTTATAGGGTTGTTTATGAATTATTTAATAATTGAGTGTGATGCTTGAAACCTTGTAAGTGCTCCGTAAACAGTGGCTAACGTTAATGCTAGATTCTTGCTGGCTTCACTGCTTTTGATCTTAAAGGGTGCACTACTTCTCTTTTTGTTTTTATCTATTTTTCCTGTTTCTCTTTTTAAGTCTGAATTTGTACAAAATACTTTTTTGTTTTTTGTTTTCACTCAGCATAACTGAGACCAGCTGAATTTTTGCAAAGAATTTTAGTCAGTGTTAATAGAGAATAAAAGGGAATAATTGTTGTAGATTCAAAACCAACATAGAAACAGTCACGCTTTTTTTTTTTTAAATTTTTTTATTTATTTATGATAGTCACAGAGAGAGAGAGAGAGAGGCAGAGACACAGGCAGAGAGAGGGAGAAGCAGGCTCCATGCACTGGGAGCCCGATGTGGGATTCGATCCCAGGTCTCCAGGATCGCGCCCTGGGCCAAAGGCAGGCGCCAAACCGCTGCGCCACCCAGGGATCCCAGAAACAGTCACGCTTCTATTGCCAAAGGCCTATACAACTTGTTATTTGTTCCTGGATTTCCTGCCTCTCTCCCTGATGACCCCCAGCACCCCAGCACTCCACATGGTGCCCACTGCTTTCTATATTAGGGAGCCATCTGCCTTTTACCTCTACCGAATACTCTCCAGATTCATGCTTACAAAGCTGTTTTACTGACCCGGGACCTTTTCTTTTCATTCAACTAGGATTTTGTTTGGCATCTTACCCCAAGCCTGACTTTTCTGGACTGTGGTGATTGACATAAATGATTGTAAGTGATATATATATTTGTCCGCTGTAATATAAATAATAGGCCTAAGTCTCCTTATTTGTGGGGAATATATTTGGAATCATTTCTCAGATGAATCTTCCTTTTCCCATATGGAAAATTGGCCTTAATCAAGTAGAGTTGTACAGTGTAACAGTGCATTGATCATCAGTAAATGTATAATATGAATTAAGAATTATCATCCATGTGTTAGCAGAAAGATTGTTATTCACATTTGAATTTTGTAGTTGTGAGTGTACTGAATTTGGTAATGTTCTCAGTTCCCTATGGCTCTTTTCCAGTGGAGCCTGAAGGATATATAATTATACATAAGCTGCAATCAAATTAGCAGAGTAACTTAGTTATTGGGATAGAATTGGAATCCAAATATAAATTTATTTTTAAAGTTTTATTTATTTATTCATGAGAGAAACAGAGAGAGAGGCAGACACACAGGCAGAGGGAGAAGCAGGCTTCCTGCAGGGAGCTCAGAGTGGGATGGGATCCCAGGACCCCGGGTCATGACCCAAGCCGAAGGCAGACACTCAACCACTGAACCACCCAGGTGCCCCCAAATCTCAAGTTTGATTAAAAAAAAATACTAAACTACGTTCTCTGAAGGAAAGATAAAGAATTTTGTAGTCTCTATTCTGGTTTTACTTTCCTTACCTCAGGAAGAATCTAATCTGAAGAGTTTTGTTTTTTGTTTTTTTGTTTTTTTTTTTTAAAAGACAGATGGTGGGGCGGGGGCCAATGAGGGAGGTGGGGAGAGAGAGAGAATCTTGAGTGGACTCTGCCCAGCCCAGCTTGGAGCTATGGGACTTGAGCTCACCACCCTGAGATCATGACCTGAGCTGAAATCAAGAGTTGGACATTTAACTGACTGAGCCATCTAGGCTTTCCCAATTGAAAAGTTTTAACTCCTATAAAATGCAAAAGTCTTTGACTTTTCCTTTCAGAAACACCACCTATACCCTTAAAATATCAATTCTTAATTTTTCTGAAGATTATTTCAGTGATTTCATGCTTCTATTTGTTTTTTTTTTTTTTTACAATCTATATTAAATATCTTCTTAGGTAGTTCTTTGATGTGTGAGAGAATAATCCCATTTTGTGTCTTTATATGAGTATTAAATATTTACCATCTTTATGATGGGGGGAGGAGTGTCTTTGGTAAATAGAGAATGGTTGGCATTTTGGTTGGACTCCTTTAGAATGAAAGCAAAAGCTGAAGTCCAGCTATTTAGTGTCAGTATCAGCACTTTCTGTCAGTTCTCTCAGTCCAGTTCCAGAGTTTGATCACCTGCAGGGAGAGTTGAGAATGGGAAAATAGAGACCAGCTTATCCTGTTCCTCATCTTCCCATTGTCTTATATTTGTTCCTCTGTTGTTTACGGGGAATTCTTTTTTTTTTTTTTTTAAGATTTATTTATTTATTCATTCAGAGAGTGAGAGAGAGGCAGAGGGAGAAGCAGGCCCCATGCAGGAAGCCCGATGCGGGACTCCATCCCGGGTCCCCAGGATCACACCCCAGGCCGCAGGTGGCACTAAACCGCTGCACCACCAGGGCTGCCCGTTTATGGGGAATTCTATAAACTCCTGGTACCTTTTGGTGGAGCCTCATATTTAATATTAGGTTAGTAATACAGAAGAGAAGTTAAATTTGATAGTTCATGTAGTTCATTCACTTAGTGATAGGTAGAGGGTGAGGATTTACAGAGGTATTTCTTCAGTGTTAATTTTAGAAGAAATTGATTATTTAGTGTGAAGAAGTACTGGAGCAGTAACTTGCTAACCTAGGGAAAAATTATACAGGACAGTGGTTATTAGAAATATACTTTGTGGGGGATCCCTGGGTGGCGCAGCGGTTTAGCGCCTGCCTTTGGCCCAGGGCGCGATCCTGGAGACCCGGGATCGAATCCCACGTCGGGCTCCCGGTGCATGGAGCCTGCTTCTCCCTCTGCCTATGTCTCTCTCTCTCTCTCTCTCTCGCTCTCTCTCTCTCTCTCTCTCCTCTCTCTCTCTCTGTGTGACTATCATAAATTAAAAAAAAAATTAAAGAAACACACTTTGTGGGGTACCTGGATGGCTTAGTTGAGCGTTTGCCTTTGGCTCGGGTCATGATCTTGGAGTCTTGGATTCGAGCCCCACATTAGGCTCCCTTAGGAGCTGGGAGCCTGCTGCTCCCTCTCTCTGCTGCTCCTCCTGCTCATGCTGTCTCTCTCAAAAAAAAAAAAAAAAAGTCTTAAAATAAAATACATTTTTTTAAAAAAATACATTTTGTTTAACAGGTATAGGAAAATGTTTACATTTGACATTTGCCAGTTGTCAACACTGTGTGTGTGTGTGTGTGTGTGTATGTGTGTGTGTTTTATGTAGAATGAAAAGTGCCTTTATTATCTTTCACCATTGCAAGAGTGAAGAAAACTAAGTGGCTTATAATGAGGGAATTATTTTTAAATATTCAAGCCCACTGAAATTTAAGAGATTATTTTCAGTGTACATTTTTCTCTTAATGTTAAACTGATTCTGATCTTCAGAGAGAACTTTGAAAAAGATACACTAGTACAGCATAGCAGACTAATATTTTAGAGAGAATATTACCAGTAATAAAAAGGACAGAATTATGATACTTTGATGCATTAATTTTAATAACTTTTTTTCACAGCTCTTGAGTCAAGATGAGAAAAGTTAAACAGAAATATGGTTCTCATTTTGATTGTACTGAATTTATTATATGAAGTGTTATCCTTTCTTCAGATGTAGAATCTGGGTTTATGTCCTTTTTGTTTGAAAGAGTGGGTGAGGCTAATTTTTCTGTAGCAGTGGAATTAAATCTTTTTTCACCGATTACCATTTAAAGCAATGCCATAGAAAATGCAGGAATTTGATTATAGCAGTCTGAGCGGTAGTTATTCCAATTCCAAGTGGTCTTCTGCATTTTTAAAGAACAAATTGTTAGAGATTATCTAATGCTGCTATGAAATACTTACAAAAGTTATATTTTTTCCTTGTCCTATAGTTGCTATAAAATTGATGATTTGGTTCTTTCATTAATATTCTCCTTTACAGTAATACTTTGTTCCAGTTGTCTGGCACAGATTTGGGGTCTTGCATTTTATGAACACATGTCATAAATCCAGCCTAAGATAGATGAACTTATTTTTGCTGATGTGCCTTCCCAGAAAATCTTTTTTGCTCCTCTGCAGATTGTCAGTTAAGCTGCCTGCTTTTTATGTTTTTTTTTTTTTTTTCTTCATACCAATTCCATGTGCCACTTGGGCTACCGTATAGTGTTTACCTTATGCTGCCTTTAAGTGCTCCCCAGAGACAGATTGTCCATGGGGCTAATGAAGTTTAAACTAAAGGGACCCTCACTTGCATGAGCCCTTTGGGATTTTATATACAAAATTTTGTAGTCTTATAGAATTTCCTAAAATTGTGTAAATATTAAACCCCACAAAACCTACCTTTTCTAAAATAGAAGACTGTTAGAGGAGATGAAAAAGTAAATGCAGATTTTAGCTTTGTGTTCTAGGTGAAAAGGATATAAATAGAATATTTGGGTTGTGTGTGATGTCAGATTTAATTTATCATGATAACCATCAGTATTGCACCAGATGTTTTGACTGTATTTAGCTTCATATTAAATTAAGCATAGCCAGTGGTCTCTGAAGTCCATCTGTACTGCTGCCAAAGGTAGTAGCACAGAAGACAGTGCCTTTCCTGTTATCACTGCTAGCTGCTTTCTTTCTTGACATGATATTTAGGCTTTTGGATTACTCAGAGAAAAGGTGAGCCTTCATATTTGAACTTTGTATTCTCCAAATTACTGTGCTGGGTGTAGAGGCTTGCATGTTTCTTTTCATCACAAAAGGTGGTGATTTTTAACTTTTTGCTTGTCTACAGACCAGTGGGAACAAATTAAATAAGATTAGTTAGGAGTTTATTGAGGCCTGAAGTGTAGTGAGAGGGAAACCATTACACACAATTGCCAGCTAAACATAGGTACACCTGAGAAGATTTTTCTACATCTGCTACTAGTCATGGAAAAAACAGTTAACTTACTGGCTTTGTCATATAAATGCATGTGAAGATCTGAAGATCCTTGGTTTTCTTTATACTCAGAAAGACAAGTATTGAAATCACTGAAAAAAACCTTTATATTAATTTAAATGAATACGCTTTGATTTTTACCCAATTCCTATTTCATCAGTGTAGTCAGAGAATGCATGGATTCCCCCCCCATAAGTGAGGGTAAAACATACATCTGCAGTGTTCTTATATGAGGATCATTAAGATGGCAGACCTTGCAGATCAAACAATTTCCTCCCATACTTGCTCTCATTTTCCCTAGAAAAGCATTTAGACATCTCTGAAATTAGACATATAAAGCATGTGGTAATGCCAGAACAAAATATCTTAGAAATTTTATCATAATGTTTTTTTTAAAGTCCTAAATGTCCTCTATTTAACATGGAATTCTTTTGTATTAACCTCCTTTCATATGCTAGCTTTCACCAGACTGCAGAATTGCCTGATCTGACTTTCTAATGTAACTGTAATGAATCTTCTGGGAAGCCAAACGATTGAACACACATACTCTGCAACTCTATTGTAAAATATTCAGTCAGTCATGTTGATGTTGCTGATTAAAAGAGAAAGAAAAAAAAAGAATTGGGGGGGGGTGGGAAAGAAAAATGAAAAACTCCCTAACATATATTAAGGCTTAAAGCAAATACATTCTCTTAGGGATTTCAGCCTTTACTAGACATCATGATGTGCAATAATGCCTCGCTTACGTATATTCAGGAACACCTTAATAAAAACATCACATAAATGGAGGCAGAATCAGCTTTGTAAAGCCAGAATTAGAGCATATGATTAAATTCAGTTTTTGACATATTTCTCTGAAAAAGCATATGGAAAAAAACTGGCCTATTTGCACAAGCAGACAAATTGCTCAGGGCATTATGCTTGAGTACCCAGCAGTTAAGTATTTGC